CGTAGGTGCTTTGGGATAACGCGTAAACTCTTTCGTTGCGAACAGCACCGTTCCAATACGTTTCTGATGCCGTATTCACCTCGCGCGCAACGTAACGTACGGTCATCGATTCCCGAAAACGTTTCGCTTGCCGAGCGCGGGCGCAACGAAACCTTACGGCACAGGTCCGCGGCGTCATTGTGTGCGGTTATTACGCTGAGCCGCGACGCGACGGTTGTACCCGACGCGTATCACACGTGTGCCCGAAACAAAATCGCATCATCACGACACTGCGATACGTTGTTACGTACTCACGCGGAGTTCCGAGCGAAACGGGCATTGTATATTGGTTGTGCACAATGCCGTTCGTTTTCATTATTCTTTTCGTCCGAAAACATATTTATTCCGCGTTTGACACTTTCTTCGTGTCCGCGCGGGACACCGCACGGGCAAACGGTTCGGTATATCCATGCCACGCACGTGGTTGGGGGGGGGGGGGCTCCCGGAAGACGTCGTGAATATCGACGCATACTCGTAGTGCTCGTTTCGAACCGCCGCACGAGTCCATCGACCGTATTGTATTGCGCAATACCGGCGGTGTCCAGCCGGAGGAATAACAAAACGACCATCCTTCTGTGCCTCGTGCAAATAATGGTTTTCCGTTCACAATAACGTTTTCCCGTGCGAAATCGATCTGAGCGACACCGCCTTCGACTCTACGCCGTTCGCCTACAATGGTTATCATGAATATGAGTCATCATTTTGCACCGCAGAATTATCGTTTTACCTCATCAACAGTTATATGGTTTCGTTCGAGTAAAATTAAGAGCGTTTCATAATCTGCAATGGTTTCACTCGTGAACGGAACACGAACAATTTTGTTTGCTCGAAACGCTAAAAATCGTATTGTCTAAGGAGTAACAAGTGCTCGACGATCAAATTAATTATATCATAAGCTAAGACGGATTGTTTTATTTAAATATCAGATTTAGAATATTTTCACGAAGACAACTGAAACCCATTTCGTTTCTTAAATCACAACACAACGCGTTCAGAACAATTACGCGGCTTGGTATATTTTAATATTAAACAAAAGCTTTTTTTAGTCGTAAAATATGAAATGTTATAAAGAAGTGATATTAAAAAAATTGTTACGTAAATAATTATTTGACGTCCATGAGCGGCTAATATTTTAATGTTGTTTAATTCGAAATGCTGTGTCATTACGTTGAAAAGTCCATTTCTGAAAGGTGCAAACTAATTAATAATATTATATTTTCACGGAGATAATATGAAGTTAATTAAGTGGTATTTATTTTATACCAGAATGACAGATATAAGACGGTATAATAAATTATCCATGAAGCGAAATAATGAACGGTTTGTAACACAATATATTATACAAAAAAAAAAATTTCGACAGCAAAGTAATAAATTTTTTGTGTACTTAATTGTAATGCGACTATATACATAGTATACAGGACTGCAAAAAATCAATTGGTCAGTACTTCGAAGCAATCCGCAAAAACTTCTATTCAATACTTGAAGAACACATTCTTTTGTGTACTACAACCTATATGTTGTTCGCATTTAAGGATTAATGATGCTTTTTACGGCGCTCACAACTTTTCCCTTTTTTTCATAAAACTCGCTTTGGAATTTACGGAGTTGATTTCGGGATTGAACGTGCTAACAAAATGTTTGAAAGGTATTTTTTAGAGAATGAAAACATTTTTCATAGATGATCTTCGTCTACTTGTTTCTTCCTAGCTTAACCGAACATAACGTAAATTGATAACGGGGAAAAAAAACAGAGTTTAAAAATTAAAACCACGCGTTGATTGAAACTTTTGAACGTTTTGAACCAATATTTCTCCATCATAAAATGCATCGATTTAACTCGAAACAAACATTATTAGACTTGAACCGGCAGTAATATTGACTGGCGTGCAAACGATGTCACTGCAAATAATCGTCGTCGTGAAGATAATTGAATTAGATTCGTTTTATCGGTATGCACTCCGCGTGGACCAATACAATTACGTTCAGAATTGAAAGTGTCGTCCTGATTGATAGCGTTCCACGCCTTTATCCTTCCACGTCCTCGCCGGGTAACGCGGTATTCGTTGACGAAATAAAAATAGACCAGATAATCCTATAGATAACCGTCTCCGTTTGGTTTACTAACATTTTGGCAGCGCGTTCGAATTATCGTCATCCGGCAGGTTTTACTAATTTAATTCACAACAGTATAATATAAACATACATATTCATATGTTGAGTACGATGACATACAATACGATAACCAGGTCATCCCGATATAATTTTTCGTACGGAAGGCGCGCGCGCGTTCAAGTTTTAAACCGTAAAACGTTGCCGTACTACGTATACGAATATATACATAAATCATGTTGGTCGTTACAATGTAATCTCTTAACACGTTAAACGTGGTCCAAGAACGAGTTTTGAACGCATCAGAACGTTTCGGAGTCTCGGAGTTTCGACTTTCGGAAAATTAAATATCATTCAAATTGAATTTATTATTTTTATGCGCGTCCGTTGTACGAGACCGAGACGCTTGCGAAAACGTTTTCTCGTCCATCGGCCGAGCCCTTTGGACCGCGTTCGAATGTTATATTGCATGGTTGACCCGCAGGTCGATGGCGATTCCATTTCATTTCTTTTGAAAAACAAATAAATTATTTATTGCTTTTAATTAAATTTTTTTTTTTTTTGCGAATCATACATCTTTGTTCAACCCACGAATATAATAATTAGATTAATAACGATTCACAAAGGTAGTGTACAGTATTGATGAAAATATTTGAAAAACGCAATTGTTCACCGACATCGAGTAGGTATTCGCGTACGTAATCTAACGGATGTTCCGTATTGATCCAACGGTCCTGATCGCGTTCGTATAAACCGATATAACGTACATTAAAACACGTGTTACGTAAAACTGTAAGACTCAAGTTACTGTTGCTAATCAATGTCAGAGAAACGAAAGGAGTGTAGTAACACGCACGCGTGTGAGATGTATTTTTGATCGGTGACGACCTAGAAAAACGTACAAGTCTATAAAACTCGGACGCCCATGTTGTGCCGTGCGATATCCGTTTAACGGCGATGATACGGTTATCGCGCCGCGACCGGAGGACCTCTCGAACGAATGGTTTCGGTCACAACGGTCCTGTCCCCGACGACGTGGACCACCGCGTTACCTCTCAACACTCGGGTTGTCTCGCGGTGTTTGAAGCGCGTACACACCGCTTTTATGCTCGAAACGCGGAACCGAATCGCGACGATTTGCAAAAGAAAAACTCCCCGAGCACGGGTGTGCCGCGAGAAGGCCGTGCACGCGCGTATAACACTTCGAAGCGTAATTGATACCGTCTTAATTTTCGTTCGGCCGGCACTGCCCGTACCCTAGCCCGCGCGCGCAAAAAAACGCGACGCGTAGGAGTCCGTTCGGTTGACGTTCCAGTAACGCTCGCGCGGTTGCGTAAACTTTTGTTCAGCTTTCGTTACCAGCCCGAACGATTAACGGTTAGCGTTCCCATCGCGTTGTAAACGTATGTAATAATTACAAATAAAACGATGCGAACGGGTATAATTGATGTGTGTGTGTGTGTGTGTGTGTGTGTGTGTGTGTATGTGTGTGTGTGAAAAAAACAAACGAAGAAATATACTGTTTCGAAAACCGCACACAATTGTAAACGGTAATAATTGTAATTATCGTGTAATGGTCTTCGTCCGATGTTTGTTTTAGCGATTCGCTACTGCTACTGCCGCTGCTGCTGTTGGGAAGCGCAAGTGTTTTTTGTTGCTCGTGCGAGATGATTGCGCAACGCGTGTTGAACGATTAACGGCACCGAGTGCGTTCAGAAAAACGGTCCCACGTGCCATGGGAGCCATGGTTTCGCGTACTACGGGGATTTCGATCGCGGGTTTTCACACTTTCTCTCGGCCGAGGTCGAGAACCCTCGCGGAACTCTCGATGTCCTCCTGCAGGTGTACGATAACTGAAATATCGACGTGGAAAACCATTATCATCGATCACTATATATATCGTAATTTTTGTATCGGTAAACAGAAAAAAAAAAAAAAACAAAAAAACCTGAAAAAAACATAAACAACGCATAACTAATCATGATTGTTGAATATAAATGTTAGCTCCCCTCTAACATCTTTAAACCTTACCAAATATCAATTTTGTGAGACAAATACGTTAAAAAAATTCCCGAAACAATACATTGTGGGCTGCCTGTTCACCTAGAATAGTAGGCCGGTACACTTCCAGCCCGGGTTTGGATGCGCACCCGGGTACCCGCAGCCGAACGTTTCGGAAAACCAAACGTAAACGTGTTGCGTGCGCGAGAACAGTGATAAAAAAATAATTAGTAAAACAAATAAAAAACAAAACCAACGCATCAAATTGTTGTTGCCGCTTTCTCTCCGACCAGCCCGATCCGTTCCGGTCGTCGCGGACGCGCTCGGTCGATCCCGTGCCATCGTCTTAGTGCGCGTACGCCTACGACCTAACATACCCGCGTCGAGGTGCTCCACTGAGGGCATGGGGTCTCCCGTCTAAAAATAGCCCACCCGTATCATCGGAAACAATGCGTGTCGGGATTTCGTGTGCCGAGATCGAGATGAATTCCACGTCCATCATCTCGGTACACGGAGCAGTTATCGGTCCGTTATGGATTTGCTGTACTTAGGAACGACCGAAATCGAAAATCGGTTCGCTGAACGCGCTTTTCATTTACTCGCTAAAATTTCAGCTGATCCGACGGTAGTGAGTTGTGACAAATTTCGTCTGTATGTATGTACACGTAGGTGTAGTCCCTACGGTTCTGTGTTATCTAGGTACTCGTAGCCTTCTCCACCCACGAAATGTAAGCTCTTTCATCGGTTTTTCGAAAACGTGCAAACCGACACGATGGTGGTACGCAGGGAGGGGGACAGAGTCGATTGAAGTGTGCAATTACTATATTACGTTTTTTTTTTTTTTTTAGATCGGGTTTCCAACGATGGGCTCGAACGCCGTGTCCCTATCAGTGGCCATAATCATCGTCGCCATCACGTCCATTGCCACGACCAATGGTGAGTACATTGAACAATTTAATCTAATGTCATAGTCACCAGTATTCGTCCTGGTTAGATCTCGGGGCACAAGAAATGCGATCGGATTTCGGCAGCACATTATAACCGTGTACACAACGTTTTCCGACCTTTTTAACGTCACAACCCCCAGAATAAGCAAAAAATAAAATCGGTCACTACACGATCTTCCTCCTCCCCATAATTATAATAAAAACTAATTTAAGCTTTTATCTGTTTTACCACTTACAAAATATATCATATCATAGGCCAGAAACGAAACAAAAATACAAGTTTTTTAATTGCTAGATTAATTAATTAAACGTATTGTGTATTTATACAAGAAACTAATTTTTATCATTACGGTTATGTATTGACATTTTATTTTATTGTTAAAAAAGGTTGTTTTCCTACATGGGCGTTCATTTATTTTTGACGTATGCGATCCCTAGTCTAGTGGTTCGCGATCCTCAGGTTGAGAAACGGTGGTGTAACACAAAGTTAAATCGTGTTGGCTGAAATACCCGTCCTCGTCCTGGTATTATTTTACTATTCCAGATCAGAGCAATTATTTCGATGAAATATAAAATATCAAGTTGAAAAAAATTGCTTCGTACGTGCTAATAATGTTGATTTTTATTTATGTACATATGACCGGTAATTTTTAAAATAACAATTATACCTAAGCAAAGGAAAAAAATATTTCCGGGTTAACAAAAGTGAAAAAAATTATTCTTCTAGTTCAGAACCCAAAACTTTTTCAATCACTAAAAATACGGTTTTCGAAAAATCCTTTCTCCAATGCACCTATATATGTTTAGAAGTTTGAACTTCACGCGGTGAACATGATATTATTCCTATCGTGTAAACAACTTATGCGATTCAACGTATCATTAGTTTTTTATCGATACTAAATTATAAACATTAATTCGGCTCATCATGTGTCGTTCGCGTTCGAGTTACGTGTACAGCATCAAAATTTGCGGCTTTGCCTGAGCAATATTTATTCATTATATTATTACCATAAGACTTATTACAAACTCCGTTACAACAGTCACAACATGTGTATACACAAGGTTTTTCGATATTTTCGGTGACCAATAGGTTAATTTAATTTTTTTTCGGTATAATACATTTTTCGAGATATATATATTACATTTGTATTAGTATTTCGATTAACCCAAAATACCGTTAGCCTTGTAGGATATAATAGATAGTTGAATATTAGTAACACAGAAAAAATCGAATAATTAATCGATTGATGTCAAATGAATTGAATACTTAAAATTAATATTATTAAAAAAAATTATATATATTGAAAATTGGTACACAACTTTATACTGGAAAGTATTAACATACTTACCGAAGATCCGGTATTTGTATCTCATTATTACCAGCCATTCGTCATGTATAAAAATACATTAATATGAATGTCTTATGGCTATGAATGTACTACGTTTTGTTTTCCTGCAAAATTCGAAATTTCATTGAAATTCGAACGGTAAAAATTCCCTTTCTATAAACCTATTTTTGTTAAACTACGTCAAAATCAAAAGATCGTTAAATATTAAACAAAAAAGTATGAAAAATCCTTGTCAGACCGTAATAATGTTAAGCACTTATTATTTAATTCATCGTACGAAAATAAACTTATTCAAATCTGTATTTTCGTTTGAATTAATTACATCAATTAAGTATAGCATTTTAGTCTTGCTGACGGAGTGAACGTTGTTTGACTCGGTGGCATTCAAAAGAACATACAAATAATATTTTTTGAATAGTTGCATAATTTTTTTCAATCAAATCCTGTTGTATAACACATAATAATGTACACGGGTGCGTTTCAATATGTATCAGATAAAAAGAAAAGTCATCTCATTGGCGAACAATACATCATGCTGCGTCTTGTTTATTATTAGTAGCAAAACATTTCATGATGTAACGAATGATTTTTTTTTTCGGCGTGATTAAAAATATTTACTCAAAAAATATAGAGTTGTCGAAATCTATTGCATCGTTATATAATGTAATGTTATCAGAACATTGCATGCATCATATTTTTAATGAACACGCCGAGTTCCATCACGTGAACAAATAAAACGAAATATTTTACACGTATTTTGTGTTCCGTACTCGAAAAAATAATTTACTGATCGTCGTACGTTTTTATTGTTTGTGAAAATTAATTGCTAACCGTACGCGATAGAACATGTCCGAAACGCAACGAATCGATATGCGCCGCGGACGCGCGAAAACGAATGGAAAACTTTGGAAAATAATACTATAAATATATTAATAAATTATATACAATTAAAAAGCTTAAAATAATATGCATTTATGCATTAAATAATCTTTGAATACGCGTTTGATATGCTTTTATTTTTAAATAATATGCAAAAATATGCTCTTACACAAAATAAATGCATTTAAACGCATTTTATTCATTTTTTCCCCATAAATATTAATGCTGCTCAATTAAACAAACTTAGTATCTCCATAACAGATATCACCTAATAACATTAATTAAAGCAAATACTTACATATATATTCAACAAGTATAGCAAATTCTTTAGTTATGAATAATAATAAAAAAATAAGAATACTTCAAATCCTTTATATCGTTTCTTTGGTAAATATTTACGAAACCTAAAAAATATTGAAATGTAATAAAAAAAAACTGTTAAAAAATAAAAATAAAAATTTAGTCATTGATAAAAACGTTTAGATTAATAATTATACAATTTACGATCTTTACTTTTTATAAAAATAATTATATTTGTGTTATCACTTATTATATGTTTATAAATACTAAATGATCTTTCCACATTTACTGATGTCAGTGGTACGTTTCATATTGGTCATAGAGCAAACAGTGAAGTTTTCCGAAAGCTATAATTCATTGTTTTTCTGATATAATTAATCGGATTTACAATTTAGAATAAATTTAGATTTTGTAGTAGAAGCTTTGTCATCTTGTATATTTAATAAATCATAATCTAGTTTCTACTGTAATATAAACAATAAAATAATTTATTTAATACAATTTTATGCGAAATATGCTTAAATATTAGAAATCTTTCAAATATGCAGTCATCCCAAAAATTTGCATTTATATGCAAAATAAACTTTTTTTTGTGCTTTATTTGTTACACAAATCGTCCACATTTCTTACTCCCATCAAACTGCATACATTCATTAGAAATATGTAAATGCATACAAATCCGGACTCCATTAATAATAATTATGTATGCACGTGAACGACGATATGGTTAACGGGGAAAGACAAAAACCGTCATGATAACCCGGAAAATGAAAATAATGGGTACTATTATTTCATCAAAAGCGAATAAACAAATCCGATAGTGAAATAGTTTTTAATATACTTCTAATTGGGAAACAGACGAATTAATTTTGAGTTTATGGGTTATTTTTATCGTCCCGCTATGCCTCATAGAGTTTGCTAATCCGAGTGGGGGCGGGGTGAGCAATAAAGTATCATTAATAACGAAAGTAATACAAAAAAAAAAAAAAAAAAATAAAAATAAAACTCATAGAAAAAAACGTTGGATAGAAATTTATTGTGTTTTTTTTTCTTTATCTTTCTTTCGGTCCTCGTCGAATTCCGACGACGGAAAAAAATCGCTGCAGGTGGCTGGAAAATTATGCGCGATTACCTGACGGAAATCAGTCCGCGTGGCTCGCCGAGATCAGACAAACCGTTTTAATAAAACGGCTTCGAACGGGTGCCGGATCGCTGTGTTGCGCTGATTATCGTATTCCGCGCGTACGCTGTGCCGCAGGATTACGCGAAGTTTCGTTTTCGACCGAACAATGCGTCCACCGCAGTCACCTGTCACCCGCCGTTTCGGCGCGTACAACGGTTCCCGGGCACTTTCGAAGATTTTCGCTTGATCGCATGCGGTTCACGCGGCGGTATCACGAGCTAACGCATGAGCCAGGATTTTCAAAATGGAGGGGCTAAACACTTTTTCGTGCACCTCGGATAAGATAGGCTTTGGGAGTTCACCCGTAACCATTTATTTATATATTTATGTATACATAAACCATTTTATATATTTTTTTTTTATGAATAAATAGCTCATTTCTGTTGTTAATTATATGTGTATACCTATATTTTTAAAATGGTTTCAGTTTAAAATTGTTACCAATAATGTAATTATTTAAAATTTGTCACTATTGTGAAAAACATTACTTACTTTTGAGGGATTCAAAACACATTCTGTAATTTGAATCTTTATCTAGATTTAAAAGACAACTAACTAAATTCTTGAACCTCCATTAGTCCCTCCCTCGGTGAGTGATAAGACCCGCCCCTGGTTCACCGTAACCACCGAAAAAGGTCAGCAGTGATCACGGTAAAAGGAATACGCTTATGCGTAGAGGTCGGATTTTTATGATTTTACATAACTGTTTCTAGTCTATGCAGTTAAATGGAGGGAGATATGTTTACGATTCACAAAACACAGAACTCGCAGGAAAATATTTTAAGACCTATTTTTTTTTTTTTTAAATGTTATTATAAATCAATTATAACATTTAGTAATTGATAAATTTAAACCAAGTAATTAAAATAATTTCTTTTTTACAGAATATCGAAAGAATATTTGTATTTTTAAAGACATATAGCATCATAAATTTGATATTTTTAAAGAATATTTAGAGAATATATTGCCTTTTTTATACGACATAAAAAAATCATATTTTAAGGATTTCAAGAGAACATTAATTCGACCTCTACTCATGTGTTTACCAACGAAAAGTACCCGTTGTGAGATTTTTGAAAATGTACAAGGGGGCCGTAAAATAAAAAAAAAAGGCAGTTGGGAACCTCTGCCAAAGACCGAAGATGTGATTTACAGCCGACAACTGCCCCCCCCCCCGGGACCGTATTGAAAACGACTCGTTTACGCGTGCCGAAAAGGTTTTTTTTCTCGTTTGGATATCGATAACGAATCACCGCGCATTGGTTACGCCGGACACTG